TTCATTCATTCGTTCATTTATTACCTCCACATTTCATTTTCAGGGTCACGGTTGTCAACATGTCCCATAACCCTGAAAATGAAATGTGGAGGAAATAAATGAATGAATGAATGAATCAAATTATATATATATATATATATATACAGTATACACATACACACACAAACACACACACACAATATATATATACACACACATACACATGTATAGTTTATGAATTTATTGTTGTCATGGAGTAAATAAATATAGAAGACAGTATAATGCAATAATAAAAAAAAATATATATATATATGCATATATATTATTACTATACTATTACTATATTTATGAATTATAATTTATATTAAAAGCAGCATGTTTATGCATTACATAGATCAAATATACAATCCGTATCATTATGATCCTAAATGTTAAATCAGATTAAAATCAGATTTTTTGTACGTGTATGTATAACGTCATTCAAAGTCACACAAAAAAAAATAAAAGTATGAAACTACCAGATTAACAAGAGTCACTGATGCTTTTGACTCATTAGCTTGGTTCGTCAAATGTATTGAAATTATTTTTGGAAGGTCTGAGGATTTTTATGGCATTTAGTGCAAAAATTGCACTAGCGACCCATAATCTATAAGATACATTTTGTAGGCAATCATATAGTATGTATGTGGTCTGCTGAAAAATCCAGTTCCCCCTCCATTCGTTTGTTTGAAAACAGGCCCACTCCCCCACAGATGTCACATCCCAGAAGGCATGGGAAAAGCAGCACATTCAGGTGGCTTTTGTGGCTCTCTTTTCGCCGAACACAGAAGTTTGAACAAAGGCTGCAGAGCCTTCACAAAGAGCCAAACGCAGACAGAGTCATTCAGAAGCTGAATGGATAACAGAAGGTGTTCACTCAGAGCAGGTACGGAGCGACAATGGGGACGAAAAGAGAGAGGGAAAAAAACAACTCGGGGTGTTAACAGCAAATGGTGAAAAAATCAATGCTTACATATTACTGTATATTGTGTACTTAGTTATATATACAAAAGCTAAAATTTGAATTTGCACCGTTAGCCGTGTTTGGTACCTCCACCCAACTTGTAGTCTATCGGGGACAATTCACTCATATATGTGCCTCACGACTGTTCCAATTTCATCGCACGCACACAGACACAGGCACAAACACAAACATACTAACTCAGTCCCCAGCAGGGATCTTTTATTCAAGGCAGTAAATGGAGAAGACGGGATGTAAGCGGATGGTTTTCCTATTTGGGTTGTATTGACTGCGCGTTTATCCCCGTCTTAACCATGAGCCCTGACTCAGCCGGAGGGCTACATCCCTCCCCTCCAGTAATACAAACCCCTCCCCATATTTATTACTTTCACCAACACATAACACACTCACTTATGAGAAGACCTGGATGTGATCGACAGACTTATTATGCAAATTTTGGGAATACATTTTTTTAAAATTCAAAATAAAAACATACAGAGCCCAACAAGCACATAGAGACTAATGATTACCAAATAAACGATTCTAATGAAGAATCTTTCTAACAAAGTAAATCAACACCATGCAGCACAACCAGTGCAGTCTAAACCAATTCTGAAAGAATGATTCTTATATGCTGGTTCGATTTAGTGAATCAAAAACATTCATGCGACAAGTGTAGTCCAACTGATTCCAGAATGAATTACTCTGATCTGGTTCTTTTTAGTGAATCAAAAACATATAGCACAACCAGTGTAGTTCAACTCCCGGATGATTCAGAATGTTTTGAATTAATAAGTTATTTTCAGTGCAGCCAATGTAGTCCAACCAGTTCCTGAACAAATTATTCTTAAAAAAACAAAAAAAACAAAACGTGATTCTCAAATAAATGATTCTTATGAGTCAGTTTTTTTTAATGAATCAAAAATATACAGCACAATCAGTGTAGCCCAATCAATTCCTGAACAAATGATTCTTATAAATCATACTTTTAGTAAATCAAAACTATAGTGCAATCAATGTAGTCCAGACAATTCCTGAATGAATAATTCTTATAAGCCGGTTTGTTTTAGGGATTCTTATCACTCAGTTGTTATTAGATAATCAAAAACATACAGCACAACCAATTTAGCCCCATCTATTCCTGAACAAATAATTTTACAAATCAGTTCTTTTTAGCAAATCAAAACATAACACAACCAATGTAGTCCAAACAATTCCTGAGCTAATGATCCTTACAAGCCATATGTTTAAGTGAATAAAAAAAACATGCAGCACAACCAGTGCAGTCCAACCGATTCCCAACTGAATGATTCTTATGAGTCAGTTCTTTTTAATGAATCAAAAATATCCAGTGCAATCAGTTTAGCCCAACTGATTCCTGAACAAATGATTCTTACAAATCAGTTACTTTTCGTAAATCAAAACTGTAGTGCAACCAATGTAGTCCAGACAATTCCTGAGCTAATGATCCTTACAAGCCATTTGTTTAAGTGAATACAAAAAATGCAGCACCACCAGTGCAGTCCAACCGATTCCCAACTGAATGATTCTTATGAATCAGTTCTTATAAGTTAATCAAAATCAAAGCAGTTCAACCAACTCCCAAAAATATTATTTTTTACGTTAAGTCAAACACATACATTTTACATTTATGTTACACATATTTACTACCTAAATTATATCTCCATTTCTTTCCCAAATGTTTCTTTCTCAAAAGTACAAAAAAAAAAGTTGGGAACCATAAGGGAACCTTAATTGTACAGAGGAACCGCTAGCTAGCGGAATAAACACACATTTTATGTAATATGTGTGATTATTCAGATAACAACACATCTTCTCCATCACAGCACACTTTTGTGTTCTCACCAGGCAGGAAAAGGAGTCGTTCATGCGGTGCACGAGAGTGTGTTTCTGCAGGATGAAGAACAGGCTGGCATGGTCGAAGTTGCAGGGCATGGCAGAGATGAGCTCCTCCACTCCCTGTCTCTGAGTCTTCTCCAGACCTGTGCCAGAAACACACACAGTCAGAAATATGGCACGCATTGGCATACGGGACCATTTTGTGGTGGAAATCCCATCCCCACCATGAGATGGCCAGTTAATGCCTGTTTGTGCTGTAAATACATGAAGACATCAATTAGGGCAAATGAAACACACATTTCATTATTTTCAAAATCATCTTTGATAGCATTCCCAACTTCATATAAAAGGGTAAATATATATTATGAACTATTTTTTATGTACTACTACAGCTATTCAAATGAAGCCACCGTGGCAGAACATAAGTGTGGTTCACACCTTGAAATGCTGTGTAAAAGTCAGAAATCTGTGTTTGGTTACACACTCTCCATCTTCGCACACAGTGTTTGCATTTCACCTCTTTTGGCCAAAGCTATGCTGTGAAACTCCATATTTCTGCTGCAAAAACTGGCAGGCGCTCAGAAACGTTAGGGAAGCGTGGCTGTAAACTGCTGTAAAATATTAGCACTTTGTCCACATGGCCACATAAATATCGGTACCAAAGTGCTCTAATTTACCAATCGAACACCTCTCGCATTCAAACCAGCATTCAGCCTTTTAAAATAAAGGCCAGGTCTGGCTAAAAAACACTCGGTGCCCTTTGCTAAGCCTCGACGGGCTGAATGTTCTGATCTTTACCACATTAAACAGTTAAAACGCCGATGTGTGGAAACAGAATATAAACAATAATGTGTGACTTCAAAGCACTTAAAGCAATTTTTCGGTGGCTGGTGAAGACAGGGGTGTTGTATAAAAGTGATGTCACTCATTCAGACCACGCTGATTGAGTCTCGACCTTGAGTAAAAGGAGCGCACCTTTGTGGGAGCGCTGTAATTAGGACGAACGCGGGCACACGTTTATCCAACGGTCTCTTCCGTACACATTCAGACTTCCTGACACGGCTTGGGCGCAGAGGAACGGGGGGGAAATTTAATGTGGGAGGGGAAGAAAAAACAACAAAAATGCTGACATGTTCGGCATAATGCAAAGAGGCCGAGGGGTCAGGGCAAGTCAGAGAAAGAGGGAGCCGAGAGAAAGACGCGAGGCAGAAAAAGCAAGAGAAAGCACTAAAAGTGTGCCCAAGTTCATTTCCAGTCCTTTCACAAACGTCCTCAAAATGGGCTAATGGGAGGTCTGTGAAAAGCCGAACACTCGCTGGCGGCGTGTTGAGAGCCCACATATGCGGAGCGAGGGCCTTCGCTTCTTAAGGACCACAAAAGACCAAGGCCAATCTTCTGACGCCTCCATGGCCAGCAGCACCTTCTTGAGACAAGCATTAGTGATTGCTTTTATTAACACTGCCATTTCTGGCATGCCAATGACATGGTATTGATGGTGAAAAGCCCCGTTCTTGCCTGGAAGCAGTGTGGGCATTTGTTGGTTCCCCCCAAAACATCACTTGTTAGGTGCGCAGAAGTACAATCTCCCAATCGGCAAGAGTCGGCCCATTGTCTGTTCTTTTAATTCGATGTAGGTAATTTTACATTCATTACATCGAGAAAGGGGACGTGATAGATAGAAAAGAGACAAAGCGAGGCATGGTATTGATCCACGTTGCGAGTCAGACGGATCGGGTTTGACAGGAGCAGCACATTGATTCGTGTCAACTTTAAGTCACCGGTATTATCCATGGACAAGCGGACGGAGTAAGTGCGGAGGGGGTGCGTCGTCTTTAATCCCAGCTGAAGGGGCTTCCCGGTCCGGGAGAGGCAGGTGGTCACGCCAGCAGTCACATCCATCTGACATTTCTTGACAAGGTGGACGGGAGCTTTATGACAGGTATCAACATGGCAGCGGGGGCGATATCGCAGGTACGGCCCGGCGGGTTGCTTCAAGTGAAACCAGCCAGAGTCGGAAAGACTAATGAGGCAGGACAGGACATCGGTGTTCCTTCAGAATATGAAACCCGAGCCTTTGACGAGAAACACCGATCTGGCTATGAGAGGATGCCGGTTAGTGTTGAGGATAAGGCGGTGAGACAGATCTGTGCGAATCAATCAATGTCCGGACGAGTTAATAACTTCATCCACTCGCCGAAACGTGGCGGATTTTTTTAATAGGCATGAAATGGGACTGGATTTTTGGGTTTTAGGTGAATTTTTCTGGATTCATTTAGTGGCGTTTTGAAATTCGCTTGATAAAATTCAATCTGTAAGCAGTATTTCCGAAAGAATGCCTGACCTTTTAATCGGTTATCAGTGGCTGCAATGATATTCGAGACATTCATGCTGCTTTCTTGATCCAACAGGCAATGAGGAACTTTTCCATGCTCTTTCCATGTTCGTTGTCGTACAATTCGCCATTATTCGAGGTGGCTTTTGCATTGAACCTTGGAGGTATGAGGTAAGATGTATCAAAAAATGATTGTGTAAAGAGACCTTGAAAAATGTTTTATGAAAGTCAAATGGCGACGCTTGTGAAGTCGAGTGCCAGCGCATGCACATTATTAACTCATAGAAGCCAGTCTTTATGTTTACAATCACCATCAATGCTCAAAAAAGCAGCTTTATAGTCATTTCATATATACGACCAGATTTATAAACCGAAATGCTAGTTTTAAGCCATGTTCCTCAGCTTTTACGTAAGGTTCTGCGCTAAATGAATGCCCTGTAGCTCTCAGAACGGCTCTTCAGAAGTGATAATGACATAAACCTCATTCGGCTCACTCTCTGTTTGTTGAAAGTGAGCAAACTGTAGCATTTCAGTTGTGTAAGTGTTCCTCCTTTCACTCAGCAGCAGTATTTGGGTTATTCAAGCCCCCCGCTGGCATTTGTTTAGACTGTGTCTGTGCTGCGGCCCAATGGATCGATGGCTGGCCACCACAACCTTCAATTTCAAAGTCCATTCAAGAGGGGACAACTGAAGTGAGTGGCAGAAAAAGAGCCCACCTTCTCTTCGTTTTTACAGATTTGTTTGGCAACCTTTGAAGGTGTTGGGTTTGAGCATTAAAAAAAAACATTGACCTGTGTATAAAATCAAGATGAACACAATGCATTGCAATATTATTAAAAAACGCTTAGTTATTAGGATCATATTAGTACCTATAAGATGGATAAAAGATACATACTGAGTAAGGACACAGGGGCATCTTTTTGCGCACTCCCTCCTCTGCAGTTCTGCTGGTTCTGGGCGGGCGCTACTGGTTTATAGGATTGGCCTGTGGCGCGGTACATGGCCTGGACCCAAAGAGCGCGGTCCTGATCGTCATTGCTGGCGAAGACTACCAGATCGCCTTCTCGGACAGCACTGAAGAAGGCTCTGCCTCCTTGAAGACCTGCAGAGATGTTGTTTTAGCAAATTAATCCAAATCAGTCAATTCAATTCACTTTTTACATTTCATACAATCACCCAAATTATTTGCACAGAATTGTCTCACATAAAGAATGGTCTGCTGTTGAGATTAATACCTTCAAGTTTATAAGATTATAAATATAAATAAAAAGAATATATTTATAATTTACTTTTTTTATTAGTGCTGTGAAACGATTAATCGCATCCAAAATAAAAGTTTTTGTTTACATAATATCTGTATGTGTGCTGTGTATATTTATTACGTATATATAAATACACACACATGCATGTATACATTTCAGAAAGATATGTTATGTTTATATATTAAATATATTTATTTATAATATAAATTATATGAATATAAATATAAACATGGAAATACAGGTAAATATTTTCTAAATATATTCTGTATGAGTGTGTATTCATATATACATAATAAATATACACAGAACACACACATATATTATGCAAACAAAAACATATTTTGTATGCGATTAATCGAATAACATTTATTAAATATACTTTTTATTAGTTTTATAAATAATCAAAAATAAAAAAAGTATAATTTAGAACAGATGATAGATATTCATAATACATTTCATATTTATATGTATTAAATATACATGACAATGTATACTTTATAACATACATACAAACATTTAAAATATTAGAATATTATGAATCTTCATATTTTATTCCCATGAAATTTCGTTCTCTGTAATTGAATAGATTCTAGTTTCAGAATATTTCATGCCCACTTCATTTCAAGCTCATAACGTGTGCATCTCTTTCAAAAGCAGCAAATGCAAAATTCTAATTTTAAACAGAGGTCACTGAAATTCATGTGAACTATGATTATTCATCCTATTTTGAAATCAAATCTAAACGGCCACATGAGCATTTGACTGAGTTATAACCCATTAGTGCTGAAGTGTGAGTGTACCTGGCTGCGGATCGGAGTAATCTACCGTATACCCGTCCAACTGCATCAGCTCATGCGGCTCGGACTTCTTCTCCCGGTAACTGCACATGGCAAACGTGTACTGACTCACCTGAACAACAGGAAAGAGAGGAGATCATCTTAACACAATCACGATTTTTGTCCTAAATTGCAAAAAAAAAAAAAAATCTATATTTGTGTGATATACATAGCAAAAAAAGTGTGTAAATTATGTAATAAATACAGTACAAATACAGGTAACACCAAATGAAAACAAGGAATTTTTACATTTTATGCAAGGATTTATTGTGGTATTTTACTCAAATTTACCAATTAAAAATAATTATGTCCCAATGTCCTCTGACTGGTCAGCCATATTTTTTGTTATGTTATTTTTATTGATTTATTTGTGTGTGTATGTGTTATTAAATTAAACAAGAGAACCAGCTGATTCATATGATACCACTTCTGTCATTTTACATTCAACATGTTCGCAAATCAAATTATAAACCATTCCTTAAAACTGTATTTTTTTCTCATAAAATATTTAACACAAAAATTATGCCGTTATCTCAGAAGGCTAGTAGTCAGGAGGATAGTAATTTGCTTATTTATTTAATTCAACTGATAATCAACACTCTTTTACGCAAATAAACAAAAAAACAAACAAAAAAAAAACACAACTGCAAACACAAAATGCATGCGACGTTCAAAAATTCTAAGAATTAGTTTGCTGTTGTTGCTGCTGAAAAAAAAATATGTATAATGATTTTTGACAAAAATCTAAATCAAATTAAATTACATTTATATATAAAGTTGTAATTAGGAAATCTGCTCACCTGAACAAGCACAAAATATCTCCTCTTCCATCGCTTCCAGACTCTCTGGCCTAAGGCGTAAAGATACCTACAGAGAAAAAAAATACATTATGATGAGTGTCATGGATTAATCAAATCGACAGCTGAAAGGTCCCTTGATATTTTCATTTACAGACATGATTAAAAAGTTTATGGACTTTAGTTGCTGTCATTCATTAATTCCTCAAGCGCCTGAATTCTGTCATGTCCACTCAATGACAGAGAGGGAAAAAACATCTTAGGGTATTGATTAAGCACACATTCTTAGAAATGTAACAAAAAAAAGGATGTGTGCAGAAATATGGGTGAGGTGAAATCAGTTCCTCATAAATGGACACACAGCGCCTGTGGGGGAAAAAGCTCCAGTCAAGGTTGAGGGAGCAATGAGTGCATGGAAGCGGGCCAATCTGGGTTAACATGTGGCAGAGGTAATCATCCACTTGTGAAAGTGATTTTCAGCTCACTCTCCGACACCTTTCTGATACACATGATCCCATTTAGATGGCAACAATGGCCGGCTAACGACAGGCGAGACGACCTCCGGGTGAATGGGCGCGCTGCGGGCACTTTCCAGCCGACTTCAGCTCAATCTGAACCGGAATAATAATAATAATAACAACAATAACAATAATCTTCTGAAGATAAACAACATTTGTTTGATTATAATAAAAGCCTTTATGGTTTCTTGCAAGTAGGCTAGTTTAGGTGGAAACGCAAATGCTGAATCTGAAGAGTCGCAATAATAGCATTTTAAAATGTTTGATATGATTAATTCAGAAATACATGTAATATTTCATTCCAGGAAAAAATAAAAATCTCAGAAAATGTGATAGGGACATATTACAAATCATAATAGCCTAAATCATAACACTGGCTAAATAAAACATCCTTAGGTCTCTGAAATATGGAGTCAGACTCATTTTCTTAAGCTACTATGATTTATTATTTTTTCTAACCTACACAGTAAAAAGCACTCAACCTGTTTGCATAAATACTTAATTTACAAATAACCTGTTCTTCTCAGCGTTCGTTAACATCCCGGAAAAGTCAATAGGTTTATCAATCAGATAAATTGCATGATGCAAGTTATGATACTGCATTGAGCTTTTAAACACAATACAAATGTTAACCTCACAATTTGTCAATATGACTGTAAAATGTCAAATTAAACATATTAAGAGATCACTTTGAAAAAAAAGTGGTATTAGATGTTAATGTAAGTGGTTATTACAATGGTTGCAGTGCCCCCATGTGGTTTTAAGGCAGTATTGCAGAAAACATTTTTCATTGGGCCTTATTTATGAAACACAAGCAGAACTGATTTCTCTGTAATAATGGTATTTTAAAATTGGGATTCAATTTAGTGCCTTATGTAAAAACTGATTCACAATTGATTTGCTTAAAAATGTGTTCTTGTATTTTTCAGTACATTGTTCCTTTGCTCTTAAACCAGTATTGTTAATGTTAACTAAAACTAAATCTATTTAAAACAAAATGAAATTAAATAAATAATTAGATGAAAAATGTCAAGGAAAATGTGAAATTCTGCCTTGGCAACTCACTTAAAGAAATATTTTTAAGTACTAAAATTACAGTAATAAAACTAAAACTGAAATATAAATTAAGCAGGAAAGAAATCTTTACCATTTTTACATACAATTACTAAAACTAAAATTAAAATGAAAACTGAAAATATAAAAATGCAAGCCAATTCAAAACATTAATACATACTATAACTGTAGATAAATAATACTAAAACGCTGTATTAAACTCCCATTACATTGTCATATTTTTCTGTCTTTTAGTATAGGTAGTATAAAATATTGCATGCAATAACACAAATCAATGAGTCATGAATGCAATGTGTGGCTGTAACCAAAGGGTGAGGTTAAAAGAGATTTTAAAAACGCAAACGTGTAAAAAGGGCTTTAATGTGTGCCCTGGCCCTCAAACGAAATAGGGCAAAGATGGTTTTAAAGGGACACAAAAAGAATTAAAAAAGGACCATGGGAGAGAAAGAAAGAGCCAGTGAGCATAAGTGAGACAGAGACAGACTGTGATCAGACTCGAGCTGGCAGCTCTCTCTCTCAGGGCCACGGTGGGGTCACTCCACAAAACTGAATGGCTCCCAATTCTTCAGTCGCTCTGCTGATAAACAGATGGCTTCTTTTAATGGGGTGCAATCAACCTGAAAATCTCCCCACCGATCGTTCTCTCTCTCTCTTCCCATGCACTGGGACAGTCATCAGGTGTTTGTTTTTGTGGATGTGTGTGGGTATATGAGTAATTGGACAAAACCTAAGACTAAAATGGTATGATTTTGGTCTTACAAATCTCAAATGAGTATCATAAGACCAAAAAGCATCATGAATTTCAGCCTGTTCCTCACACAAATGTGGCTTTAGAAGATTTGGAATATGCTGCACGAGTCAAATGGTGCATATTCTGGTCCTCCTGGGAAGTTTGTATTTACGAGTTGGGAAGTCGTAATTACGACGTCAGATGCGTTCAAGTCACTTTGGTCAGATGGAAATGTAACTTTCCTACAATAAATTTCTTCAATGTTTTTAAACTCTACTTATAAAACCGATAGTTCCGGTCCTTGATTCTGATTGGCTGAGCTACGGTCGAAACTGTTGTAAATTACTCTACAAACATGCACCTTTGTTTACTTCTGTGTGTTACTCAGCATCCACTTGTTGGAACCACAACTGTTTCTAAGGAACTATATTGTTTGGTGGAAGAATACTGTTTTTATTTATATCATTACACTTTATTTGCTCTGTTTTATTCTGTGAAACCTTACTACGTATATGGAATAACCGTTTTAGAACAGCTAAGGGGGTTTTAGGCACTCCGCTTCGCGTCACCTTAGCTGTTATAAATTCACTGTAAACCACGGCTTCTTGGGGCTTATTGCTTTATTTTACAAAATGATTAATAAAGAATGTACACTGATTTTTTGTTTTATGTTTTCATTCGCTTTTTGGAAGTGCTGCAAACTGAATTGTTATTTCATAGTACATACATACTCCATAGAAATTGTACAGTCAAAATACTAATGTATTTTTGCATGCAATTCACATATTTTATTGTAAATGAAAAAAGGTCATTAATTACAACAAATGTACAATCAATACAGACACTGTATCTATTTTATCCAACATCTTTTCTTGTTGACAGGCTTCCAACTTGGAAACCCTGGGCTTAAAGAAAGGTAAGAATTTCTTACTTATAATTACAACTTTTTGGTGGCATTCATGTACAGTAAATATGATCTTTCTGACATATTTATAAGTCAAAAAGATGTTATTACAACTAGTTGCATTTAAGTCACTGCAGACAGAGCGAGATGGAGATGTAACTTTTCAACAAAAATCAATATTCACAAATTACTTTTTATATTTCATAATTTACTACAAAATGATGATTAAAGAATGCTCATCAGGTGTGTGTGTTTTTAAAAAAATTCAATTTAATAAAGTTATATATTCTATCATAATTGTACAATACTATCGTATTTTGGTTATTTTGGTAACACTTTACAATAAGGTTTCCTTTGTTAACATTAGTTATCTAAAGTAGTTAACAGGAACTAATGAAAATACTTCTAATATTAGTTAATGTTAATTTCGACATTGTATCTGTTAATATTAGTTAATGGACTTCAACTAACATGAACAATGTATTTTTTATTAATTAACATTAACAAGGATTAATACATACTGTAGAAAATGTCTTGCTCATTGTTAGTTACTGTTAGTTAATGCATTAACTAATGTTAACAAATTAACCAATAATAAAGACACTTGCATCCGACTTGTTTTCTCACATATATGTCATAAACGCTGAACCTCAGGGCTTAAAGGCACACTCCACTATTTTTGAAAATAGGCTCATTTTCAGACAGAGCGAGATGGAGATGTAACTTTTCAACAAAAATCAATATTCACAAATTACTTTTTATATTTCATAATTTACTACAAAATGATGATTAAAGAATGCTCATCAGGTGTGTGTGTTTTTAAAAAAATTCAATTTAATAAAGTTATATATTCTATCATAATTGTACAATACTATCGTATTTTGGTTATTTTGGTAACACTTTACAATAAGGTTTCCTTTGTTAACATTAGTTATCTAAAGTAGTTAACAGGAACTAATGAAAATACTTCTAATATTAGTTAATGTTAATTTCGACATTGTATCTGTTAATATTAGTTAATGGACTTCAACTAACATGAACAATGTATTTTTTATTAATTAACATTAACAAGGATTAATACATACTGTAGAAAATGTCTTGCTCATTGTTAGTTACTGTTAGTTAATGCATTAACTAATGTTAACAAATTAACCAATAATAAAGACACTTGCATCCGACTTGTTTTCTCACATATATGTCATAAACGCTGAACCTCAGGGCTTAAAGGCACACTCCACTATTTTTGAAAATAGGCTCATTTTCCAACTCCCCTAGAGTTAAACAGTTGAGTTTGACCATTTTCGAATCTATTCATCTACCGACGGAAAATGAAAAGTCGCAATGATATTACGCAGCGACTTATTGGAAGTTACCTAGCTGGGACTATTTTCAGGTGCTGAGTAATATCATTGCGCCTGCTGCACCCATGGTACGGCAGCAAAGTTCCTTGATTATTACCCGGAATGAGAGTATAGTTCCTAGCCATATCAGCTTAGAAATGCGCACCTTTTCCTTTTCCGTCGGTTTTAGTACACGATGTAACTACAGAAGAGTCAAGTTTTAAATAATAAACTCTTTAGTCATTTTTGAGCGAGATGCTAACGGTCTAATCGGATTCAATGATCTATGCTAAGCTACAGCTAAAAGTGCTACCGCCAGACCCGGAGTAAAACTCAACTGTTTAACTCTAGGGGAGTTGGAAAATTTTCAAAAATAGTGGAGTGTTCCTTTAAAGAAAGTTTAGATTGTTATGAATTGTGGTGACATTCATGTGCGTAAAAACTCAGAAATGCGATCTTTCCGACAGGACTTGAATGCATCAAATGACTATTTTCAAATATTATTAATTAAAAATATTGTCTGAAGAGTCTTATGGAAAACAAAAACAGAAGAGAGTGAGAAAATAAAAACAGAATTTTTATTTTAGGGCTAATAAATTAATGTTTCAGCACACCTGTGTGAGAACGGTCGGAGTAAGTTTGTGTCTGTCGGCGCGCGTAAGTGGTCCTCTGCAATGTCTTGTGAGGTCCGTTAAAAAGGTAATTCCAGGTTGAAGAGGCTTCTGCCAATTAGAGCAGGACTCTCAGGGAGCCGCTCTATAGAGGAATCGCACAGGGCCTCTGTGTAATTAGCAGGCTGATGGCAGTGATGTGACCCCCTGACCCCGCCCCGCTGAGGGACGCACCCCAGCAGCTGGTCCCGCACATCTTCCCTGCTGCTACTCACTTTTGGGAACTATGGCATTTACTGACAGGGCTCATTCTGGATGAGTAATCACAGACAGTCAGAAGGATCTGTAATCCATTTTTCCTCCCTTGTTATTTTATTACTTTAACAAACACCAAATCTGAATTCTTTACCAGCAAATTTAAAAAAAGCTTATGTTATAATGCTTTCTTTTAAATATTTTATTTACTTGTTTAATGGTGCCAGATTTTTATTTAATGTTTTTAATTTAGCTTTTTTTTTTTTTTAATATTCGCTATTTACTTTTTAATTTGTAATGTGTTTTTACTCCCTTGTAATTTTGTTGCTTTTAAACATACCAAAACTGAATTCTTGAACAGCAAATTAAATATAAATACACTTTTTTTTTTCTTAAGTTTTTGTTTACTTATGTTTAATATTGGCAAACTTTTATTTAACGTTTTTTAATATTGCTATTTATTTGAATGTTCAATATTTAATTTGTAATGTGTTTTCATCTCTTGTAATTTTGCTTAGAAAATCCCAGAAAATACCAACTCTATATTCTTTGATCAGCAAATTAATTTAATTAATTTAATTGATTTTTATACATTTTTTATATATTTTTTTGTCATTTAATTTTTACATTTTTTTTATTGTTATAAAATTAAATTGTTATAAAATGTTTATTTCAATGCTATTTAATTCTGCTATTTATTTGAATGGTCATTTTTTTTATATATTCATACAAATATTTTTTAAATGAACAAATAAATAAACAAACAAATAAATAAATAAGAGATGTAATATATAGAGCCAGTGTTTCCTGAGGGGCTCCTGGAAGTCCAAGGAAACGTAATGTGTCAAATGAGGAGACTCGCAAGAATAATAAATGAACAAAAGGTGGCACTATAACCACAATTTTTCCAATGCACCTCATTCATTTAAACTTACAGTACTTCTTGCTGAATGGGGTGTTTTTTTTCCTTATAAGAAAAAAAAAAACATTCAATCAAATGCTAATCAAATTTGATATACAATCTACACACTGACACATACCATTACCATCATTACAAGTTCACCTTAAGACTTACATATTTATTCTATATTTATATAATAATTAAATGGAATCCATGGAATTTATATTTGTAGTTTTAATTTGTGCATTGTTTTTTTTTTTCTCATGGCTTATATAACAACACATGAGGACGTTCAGATCCTGGAGGTCAGGTTGTGAGCATCATTACAGACGTACCCGCTGTGCTTCATGTTGGGGGGTTTGTCCATGCGAACTACCAGTTTGATTTTCAGATCCACGTCTTGGCTGTTCTTAGGCACTACCATCTTGTGCAACTCTGCCGCTTTGGGCCCGTTTGTGGTGGGGTGAAGGACCACCTGGACAGAACGAGAGAAAGTAAGAGAGAAACACATTATTAGGACCGATACACCTGGATGGGCAGCTGGAGAGATAGGTGTGAAAGAGATGATTGGAGACAAGAGAAAATGAGGGTTAGACTGATGAACGGAGAGAGACGGCAAGAGAAAATAGATGGAGGAGGTGCAGTCTGTTTGGTGCGAGTCTCTAATGGGGAGTCTCCATCTGTTACTCTGGGAGCGTAAGCCCTAATGACTAGAGATTTCCTCGCTTGTAGCTCACTTTCCCCTCGCACACATTCAAACACATGTGCACGCACATCAAGGTTCACACACTGTGTGCAGAACATCTGTTCCTGTAACATCAGCCAATAATTGAGCACATTGTGCAGATCGAACGCAGAGGAGGTTTGATGTAAACCTCAGCGGTGGACGAAAGGACAGACTCTCATCTCACCCTTCCCAGCTCTTTGTCCTCCAGAGCCAGGACTCCAGTGCTTTCAGTGAAGAGTTTGACTTTGACCGCTGGCAGGGGGTGTGTGGTGGTGAAATCTCCTTGTGTGCCCCACCTGTAGCAGAGGAAAACAAATCAGCCGTCACAATAGGAGACTTCATTTTGCATTCACCACTTCCCCAGATTCACGATGAAATGCCTGCTGAATATTTCCTGTCTTTGTTTGATCAAATTAGTGTGTGGGATGGTAAAGTATCTATTTGCATTTGTAAGACTTTGCTTTTGTTGTCTTGTGTTTGTTCTTTTTTTTTAAGAATTATTAAACACTATTTATAAAGCTCAAATTAAACGAACAAAACGTCTTGTTTTATATTTATATTTCGGTCTCAAAATTAATCTATAGCCTATGTAACTACTTGAGGGGTGGGCTGAAGTTTGAAGCCTTACTCTTAAAGCAAGAAAATTAAACAAAAGCTACAGTATATGACTCAAAAAAAAAAAAAAAAGGTTCCAAAAGAAAAACATAAAAACAAATTTTGACTCCAAACAAAAATTCAGTTTTGGTTCAAAAAAAAGCCAAAAAAACATGACTTGACTC